CTGAACAATTTTTTAGGAAAAGGCGTGCTATTCAAGAAGCTTAATTTATATGAAACTGCATCTAACTTTGGGCGTGCAAATTAAGACACCTACATATAGGTATTTATGGAGATATCTACTTTAAATAATAGAGCTCTTCACTTGACCAGTTATAGACATCTGCTTTTGGATGAACAGGTCTCTAGTTTCCACTGGGATCAATTAGTTTGCTTCATAGAAGTGTCCAGTGCCATTTAAGATGCCATAGGACATCTGACTTGGCCTCAGCTGTTGTTTCACAAAGATGTGCAAGTCTTCTGTAGATCATGTGTCGTACCTGCCAGTTCTGTATAGGTGTCTAATAACCTATAGCATCTGAAGTGACACTAGATAATGTATAATTAGGCAACTGCACTGAGTTCTGCTCAATCTAATGTTTAAATCTCCAGCTGATGTAGGCACCTGAATTTAGAAGATGGAATTTTCTTTAATTGGTTTATAAGAAAAATAATGAAACTTTTAAGGGAGATTAGCATACTTTAGTTTTATAGTCTTCTGAGTTTTTCTGCTGGCAGTGGTGTGACAGCCTGAAAGTTCATGTATTACAAAAAAAAAAAATCAGTTTTGAAAGGTGGATTTTTTCTTATACTACAGACTCAATTTGGGATTCTTTTAGAAACAACTGATCCCAAAGATGCCATTTTCTATGAAGTTACTTTTTTAATACAGAGCTGTACTAAGAACCAAAACGAAGTGGTCAAAAACATTATTTTAAGATGGAAGCTGTTTTTTACAAAACTTTACAATAAGATGAAATGGAACATTTATTGTATAATTTTCATGAGGTCCTGTTGTGATTATAGCTAATGTAATTCCTGATGTTCTTGTTAAGAACAAACATTGTTCCTGCATCTGTAGATGTACATTCAACCACTATTCCTTACAGTGCAATGTTTCTTGTGCCTTTTTACTTACATGATTGGATTTCTGCTAGGTAAATAGGATATGCATTGTATAATTGCCACTAAAGAGAGTCTATATGAACTGTTTTTAACATCTAGGATTTAACATATACATGTATGAGTGAAAGAATACCTCTTCTTTGCTAAAAAGCTTGTGATTTCATTCTTGCTCTTACCTGTCTATATTGTAAAACTAGGGCTTAGGGCAGTTTTTGCTGACTTTGAGGTAATGGCATACAATAAAACACTACATCTTTAATGTGAATTTAATATCTTTGAATAACACAGTAGATAGTAAGATGTATAGCTAGTATCTTCTGGCACCTCTTATTCCACATGTACATCTGCTACTTCTTAAGGTAATCTTCGAATCATAGAATAGTTTATGTTGGAAAAGACCTTCAAGATCATCAAGACCAACCGTTAACCTAGCACTGCCAAGTCCACCACTAAACCATGTCCCTAAGCACCACACCTACACATCTTTTAAATACATCCAGGGATGGCGAC